CAGCAGCCTAAATGGATTGGCCAGAGAACAGGAACTGAGCATTTCTCCATTCAGCACTGTGTGTTGTGAGTGCCTGTGAAAAGCTGGCCCTCCGTATTTCCATGGGCATTTTAATGCCTTGGGGTGCCATTTCTCAGAAGAAAAGAACAGGAAATCTGTGCTTCTCATCATCTTTCAGTTGCTAGATATTGGAAGTGTCTTGAGGACAAGATCTCCTGTTGTTTCTTCCTCATAAGGGACTTTTTGAAGGAAACACTGTCTTGGAAAAACACGGACCCATGCACCACCTCAGCTTTTGAAATAATTCACGTTAAGAGGGTTTCTTGTGGGATACAGTATGCAAGGCTTGTTGAGCAAGATCCCTTCTGGGTGGCCTTTGTCCATCTCCCGGTGTTTTCATCACACATCTTTTACTGCAAAGAATAATTAAAGGCTTCACCTCAGAGGTTCCTGAAGAGTGAGGGAGGTATTGCCTGAACGATGATGTGCCCAACACTTTTGTTCATATCACTTTCCTGATAAGCTCAAGCTGTTAAACTCCAGCTAACCAATCAGGAGAAGAATTTACTACCTCTGTGTCGTTTTAAGTGGGCTGTCTGGCTGGAGCAGGATGTATTCAAATGAAAGTTAACAAAGTATGTTTTCTTTTGAGGATTTGTCTGCTATAAAGAGCTTGAAGGAAACTTTTGAATGGGCATTCTCATCCCGTTACAGCTGAAATATCCATTGTACCTCCCACAGTTTCAATAACTGCAGTTATTTTCATTTCCAGCACATTTAGAAACAAACGATGTTGAATCTACTTTATTTGATGGGAGAGGTTCATAAAGAAATGGCAAAGGGCTTGCATTTTTAAAATATTTGGCCTTCAGATATCCTCCTCTTTCCAGATCCTTTAAGCCATGCTCAGGTGACCCTTACAGGCTGAGCAGCAAAACCCTGCTGGGAGAGAGGGGCCCAGAGCTGCCGCAGCCTCCCTTGTGGTCCCTGCCAATCAATGTCTGCTCTTATTCCACAAAGAGCCTGGACTGTCTTGGCAGGGAAAGCTTCATGGGATCAGGTATAATCCCCTGAGGAAAACAATTGTATACAATAAGAACTTGAAAGCATGAAAGGAAAAGATTTTCAACTCCTCTAAGCAGAGCTTTATTGATAAAAACTGCATCTGCCACTTTTCTCTAGTTAGTTTTCTATTATGTGAAAAACTGTGGAAAGCAAGGTTCATGCCATTCATAAATGAGCTTATCCTGTAATTGAAAAATAAAATAAAGTTATTTGGCTGCAGACCGGATGTAAGCTTGATGGCTGAGTGCAAGGTATTTGTTTTCTTGTGCTGACTTCTCATATTTTCTCCTCCCCTTACTCCAATCCATCTGCAGAAATGTTTTCTTTTCTTGTTACCTCAAAGTCTGAATGTTGTAGATTCTGGGTGAAAGACTTAATTCAAATCCTTTTCTCCCATTATTCTGTAGAAATTGAAGACTTACTGGTTCAGAGAACGTAGGTTCTTCTTGTCTTTCCTCTTTTTTTTCCTTTCAGGATGATCATGTTTTAGAATTTTAAAACTCAGTGTTAGCTAATGGTGGTGCCATGATATAGTGCAATACCTATTTACCTTTTGTGTGACTGCAGCAGCTTGTTTCCTCTGATAGGGAATGTAGAAACCAAGCAAGCTACAAGTTTATGGGTTTTTTTTCCTTTTGTTGATGAGAGAGCCCTTGAGGATATTCTTAAATGTTAGTTTACAGGCTAGCCAAACCCTGCAGGTAAATGTTACCTGTAAAAAAGGAACACTGAACTTGTACTATATGCACTTGAAATATCTTTCTGTGTGACTGGGGTGCCAGTAGGAATTTCCCAGACTGCAAGACTGCAGATGAGAAAAAAAGGCACTAAACTGATCCTTTGTTTGCTCTGACTGCCTTGGAACTAACTTTATAGACTTTAATTTTCTTTCCTTCAAATCTCTTAGCTGGTTGTGCACAAGCAGGAGGAAGGCAGCAGCCTGGGCTGCTGTCCATGATTTGGGTGGTGGGCAGAGCCAGGCTGTTGCTCTTCCCCCCATCCAGGGTAAGAATTGTACCTGCTTGTATCCTGCTTGTCCTTGTACACTGCTTAGAGTTTTTGGGCAGCATCAAACTTGGAGGACCTTAATGTTAGGTCATGTGTCTGCCTGGCCTTTATTCAAGCCATATTTTTTAGCTCCATGTGTAGATTGTCCTGGTTAAATTATAGGGCTTTTCAAATCTTCCCAGAAGGTAGAAAATGAAGCTGCATTTTGTCTCGCTCTAGCTACCAAAACTTAAACTTAACATTCTACATTCTTGTAGTCTTAAAATCCTACCTGCTTCCAGGGAGTCTATATGGGTCTGAAGTGCAATTAAGCCATTCTATTTAATCTCAGCTGTGAAGAGAGGTTCAGAAAGAATGATGCTTTTGACATCTGTCACTTGCACAATCACCTTCCAGTGCCAGCAGAAGAAATCCATTACCCTTTCTGATTAGAGAGTGATTTTAACTAGCACAGTTATAGGGTGATACCAGCTGCAGTGACAGATACATATCCTGGAATGCTTTCCCAATCCTGCTGTGTTTATAAAAGGGATACAATCAAGACAAGGTTATTTTTTTTATCATCACATTTCTGCGAGATAAAAAAAATCCTATTCTTCCCACAAGTAATATTTTGATATGCACATTTAAATTATATTGAAATTACACCTATTAACTGCTAAAACTAATAGATACACATTAGTATTACAGAAAGAAAATACTACAGCAGGCAAGAACTGAAATAGAGCTGCGGAATTCAACATCATCAGTGTATGATTTGTAATGTTGGGGTTTTTTTGTTGATGGTTATTTGTGATAAAAAATTTCCCAGTTTTTAAAAGAAACAACACTGAACAGGATTATATCCTGTCATGTTGGTAACACCTCTCCAAAATCAGAGACATATGAAACTTACATTTAAATTATCTATTTAATCTGAATAGTATTATTTAATTTAAATAAAGTAATAAGCTAAACTAGTAAATAAAGTAATATTTAATTTAAATAAATTAGTAAACCCACATTATGTTAACTATGAGCAGGTTCTGTAAACTGGAGGGCTCTAAAAACCCATGAGCTTCAATAAGCCATGGTCAAGTAAGTATGACTTTCTGATGAGTCAAACCAAAGCTTCAAATCCAGAGATTCCTAACCACTGGAACATTTAAAATAGGAGTCTAGCTATGGATATGTGGCTTGGTTCTGTGTTTCAAATAAAGGAGAAACCCCTTTCCATGGAGGAAAAAAAAAAGTAGAAGTTACAGAAAAAAAAAAAAAAATTAGAGGCCATCCAAGAGCTGTTCAAGTGTGAGCATCCTCCACCACAAGGACATTTGCAGGCCAGTGTGCCTACCTGAGGACCTAACATCCCTCTCATGTGCACAGGTGTGTATCTGACTCATGCTTAAAGTGGATGCAGTGATGTCCCCTAGCTGGGATGTTTTCTTTCTCTTACACACCTGTACATTCAGACTTTGCTGAATGATAAAGAAAGGTGTTTGGATTGTTGCTAAAGAAGGTAAAAAGGAAGATGCTTTCGTCACTGTGGTGTGAAAATTCAACATTGGTATGTGGGTATGGTGATCTAGGAAAATGTTGTCTTAAGGATGACATCTGATCAAAAACTGCACCAGGGCTTTTGCTTTTTAACTCCCAAAACAATACCTGAAAAGTCTGATGGAATACAGAGTAATTTATGCTGTTTTGCAGCTGAATCTTTCCTGAAGACTTTCTAGAGCACTCAAATTTCACATGCACAAAGTCAGCTGATCTTTCATGAAAATACTATGATAATGTTTGATTAGCTTTACATCTTTCAAGTATTATAAGAGTGCATAATTGCTTGTTTTCCTTGAGTGTCAGCAGCAGTCTTTTTAAGAGGGAAATGTAATAGAAAATTTGGCAGGAAAGCTTTTAAACTTAGTGGACAAGGAGGCCAAACTCACCTTTTAGCATAGGAGTATGCTGTTGATATATTTCCTGGCTCTTCTTAGCCTAAACTACAGCTAAGAGCAGATCCTTGAGTGGTCTGCCACAAATATAATGAAGCTTAGAAACTTAAGAATTGGTCTCAGGAGGAAAGGGCTGTACAGCACAGCTTGTTCGTCCTTGAATTCTGCTAAAAACTGGCTAAAAGTGGGATTTGAAAGGTTCCTTGTTAAATAGTGGAAATGTTGTTTTGTAACTGATGATTTTTCCTGCCTTACCTCTACTCTGAAATGTGTTGAAGTCTACAGAAGGATTCCTGTCATCTCAAATGAGTTTGGGATTGTGCCATATCAGCAAGGTGTGGGAAACAAAGGCAGTCTGTGCCTGGTAGTCAGGAATGAGGAAGAGACACCTGTAATGTGGGTCTTGTTCTGTCATAGTTTTCATATCCTTTTCATACACTCATTCTTTATTTTCATGCAATTCGTTGCATCTCACTAAAGGCAGCTGCAGTTGTGCAAAGAGTGGCAGGAAAAATGAGAGGAACTAGTCCCTCGAAGCAGTAAATGTGGATTAGGGCAGAGCAGAACCAAAGGAGGCTGGAAGCATTGTTTATGCTACAAAGGCCATTTGCTGGTGCACTTTGTCAGTGGCAGGGTGCCCAGTCCTGGCTGGCCGTGGCCCCAGCCGAAGCAGCGCTGCCCAGGAGGTGGATGGCTCCTGCTGCACTGAGGCAGGGCTATCTGCTGCCCACAGCCAGCATGGACCTGGCACAAACCCCCAGTGACCACGCTCACGGGTAGCTGCAACATTCCCCAAACCCCTTTTTTCTGACCCAGCTGCTGAGTTCTGAACCTGCCCCTATGCTCCTTTTAAAGAGACTGGCTGTGTTCAACAAGGTGAATCTCACTGTTCCCTTCGCCCTCCTGGTTTGTACGTGCTCTGTGTGAAACCCATGTGAGCGTTTCCTGTTCGCTTGGTACAACCTGGGCTGTGAGCGCTGCCTGGCCAATTAATTTTTTGTGGTACCCAGGGAGCAACAAAGCCTGAGAAACAGTGTTTTTCTTTCTTCAATTACATTCATTGTGGTAGCAAGGACAAGGTAGGAATCACTAAAAGAATTTGATCCAAAGATGTTTTGGCAGAATGCTCCTGTGATGAACTGCACTGTGTTTACTACCGATGTGGGATGATGTGGGGCTGCAAAGAGCTGCAAATAAATGAGGAGTTGGAGCAAACAGGTGAGTCAGGCTTCCTTTATGTGCCATAAGGACAAAGAGGGGCAGTTTCACACTGAGCATCCATCGTGGAGAATCGGCCTCCCAGAACTGCTGTCATTAGAAAGCATTGTTGAATGAAGGATCGTTTAAAACAGCTGGACAAGGCAGGAGGCAGGCTACTCCAGACAGTAAGCAGGTGCAAAGGACAGCAGGAGGGCAACAGAATTTGTTAGAAAGCCTGCCATTAACGGTATTTTTTACTAGTAATTTTATTAGAGTAAAGGTTTTTTTTTTTATTATTGTTTTTTCATTAGAAATAATAGTGCTTGTGTGTGAGGAATTTTTATATATTGTACCCCAGGACTAGATTTGCTCACAGGTCTAAAAGAGCATATTGTGCAGTACCTTATATGTTTGGGGCTTTCAATTGCATTTTGTTTCCATCTCAGTGAAGTGTTTCTTATTTGGAAAAGTTGGCTAATCTTTGTCATTTATCTGCACAGTAAGTGGTTTGACTTTTCTAGATCTAAGACTGGACTTTAGAAGGGAAAGAAGTGTTTTGTGTGTCTTTTTTTTTTGTTTGTTTGCTGGTTAGTTCTGGGGGTTTGAGTTTTGTTGTTTTGGATTGGTGGGTTTGTCTGGCTTTGCTGTATTTTTTTGTTGTTGTTTTTGTTTGGTTTTTTGTGTTCAAATGCAGTTTCAGGTGTCATCTTGGCAGAATAAAAGCTGCTAAGTAAAGGAAAAAAAATTGTGCTGAAGCCCTGTAGAGAATTCCTGCAGGATTAAAATAGTCATAAGAATCTCCTTCCCCTCTTACATCCATGCATTTGGCCTCACAAACACACCTCTTTACCAGCACTGACCAGTTTTTGAACAAATCTCCTTTGCTGAAATTTTGTAAATTACTGCTGCACTCTGAAATGGCTGCTCCAAATGCAGGTGTCTGCCATGCAGGACTTCATCACCAGATGGGTGGTTAAATGCCCTGCCTTTGCTGCAGCCTGCAAGCTGTTTTACATTGCATGAGAGAAGTCAAAAAGTCAATTAATATGCTGACCAAGACAAAATAGTTCTTTGCACCTATAGTCAATCCCAGTGTGGACTCTCTTACGAGAAAATTATTAATAATAAGTATGTTGTAGGTCTCATGTCATCTCTCTAGGAGATACTTAATCCTACAAGTTGGATCAAGAATCTAATTTGCTTTTAATCAGATGGGATATAGCTTTGTGTATGAGGAAGCACTGCTTAATTTTTTGCATTCTGGTGGGGAGGTTGGGAGTCCAAAAGCCATTGTGATTTGAGGACTCATTCAATGCTGGCAGAAGTGAATAAATTCAGTATTCCAGGGATTTAGCATGACTCCTGTGGTTTCTTTTGCCTGTCTTTTTAGAAAGTGTTTCACTGAGATGCTCAGAAACAATCCTGGCAGGGTGAGCAGTGTGAGAGGGAGCATTTCTGCATCCCAGGGCAGCCGCTGTCCCAAGGGCTGCGCTGTTCGTGCTGCACTGGCAGCTCTGCAGTCCTGCAGCTGCAGGTGTGCAGGGCCCTGCACGTGCAGGGTGTGTGCAGGGCCATCTCAGACACCTCTGTGCATTCCCAAAACCTCCTCTGTGCTGACCCAGCTGGAGCTCAGCTGCCGTGCAGGGCTGGGTCTGTGCTCACAGGAGCCCTGCGGACACCGAGGGGAGATGTGACTTCCAGAGGGACAGAGGGCTCCAGGTGTGTGAGATACCTGCTGCTGGCCAGCCTCAGCTCAGGTTCTGCTCCGTGTTTCAGTGTGCACCTTGGCAAAGTGAGATTAGTCTCTGGGTATGCTCTTACCTCCAGAGATTAAGATGTGATTTTACATTAAACGCTGAAAAGCAAACTGGGATCAATTCTGAACTGCCAGAGCTCACCTCTGGGTCAGGGGTGGCTCCGTGTGGTGGAAAAGTCTCTCCTCCAACCCGAGCTTCCAAAGAAAGGCTCAGCAGTCTCTGTTGTTTGGTCTCATGGTTGTTTATTGCAAGTTATCTAAAAGATTTTCTTCTCTGCTGTGGTTTGCTCACAGCTCAGGCAGAGGCACACACACACCCTGACACCCTCTCTGTCTGCTGTCTTCTTCTTCCCTCCCAGCCCTGGGCTGCTGCTATCTTTTATATGGTACATTACGTGTTACATGGTTACAGTTTTTCCCCAATGCCTATTACCTATATTAAATGGTGCTTTTCTACTCTAAACCAATCTGTGAGTGCCAACATCACCAAGAACATGGAGGTAAGGAAGGAAAAAGAGGGAGGACAGGGCAGGTCCAAATCCCTCCATCTTAAAACCTCTGACCCTCATATATAAAACTAAAACCCCCCTGTACAGTACTCAAAAATTCTTCCCTTTACTTTGTGACTACTTCTACTCTTATATCTAACCTTTTGTGACTTCTTGTTCTTCCTATAAGGTTGGTAAATCGTCCCATGGTTCAAATCCAAAATCACAGCTGTTTCCAGCTGCCTGCCAGGTTCTCAAATGCTTCTGACCTGGGCCCGGAACATCCAAAAATGTCTGAGGGACATTTTGAGTTCCGACACTGAACCTTGACATCTTGGTGTAAAGTAAGTTGAGACTGAGCAATATAACTTTTTTTTTCTTTTTTTTCTAGGATCAGTAGGAGAACAGGATTTGGCCCATTAGACTTCATTTGCAATGTGGGGAGGTTGTGAAAATTCTACTTTTAAAAAGATAGCTGCAATCTGTCATTTAATTTCAAGAGTCCCTGTAGCACTGAGATTCAGGTAAGAGCCAATTAATGATAATGTTATTAATGAACTTTTCTGAATGCATATTTCATTTAGCTATAACAAGACAGTTATCTCTGATACACTGAATATCAAATCAGCTATCAAAATGGAAGAGAGATTAATGAGTCAGATAAATAACTAAATATACAATACTTTAAGCTTAATATGAGAGTTTAAAAGTCAAGACTAACTGGTCATTCTGGGCAGATAATGTTTAAATAAATGCTACCTTCAGAATTAGTAGTCCAGGGTTTTTTATATCAATTGTAGTTTAAATTAGTGAAAGAATCATATTGGGTGATTCCTGTGGGGAACATGCCCAGGTGTAGACTGGAGGAAAATGCTGCCTTTACTTCCTTTGTTATGAGTAAATGCTGAGCAGGCTTGTAAGATAGAGGTTTTTGTCAAGATACATGTGCTGTATCAAAAATCTTCCAGCAATATAACAGAAATTACACTGAATACATAAAGAATAGGCTGTATGTTTTATTATTTCACTCATAGCCCAATTTGGTAGAAGTGGATCATCCCTTCCCTGTGAAATTATTTTTAATGAGCTTAATATAATTCCTTCTCTACATACAGCCATTTGTTCATAACCCTGGCCAGTGAATAAGAGAAAATTATGTATTCTTTGAATCATACCAGGCATGGCTATTTTCTAGCTTCTCAAGGGCATATTTATATTAATCCTAACAGCAGCCAGGCAAAGAGCCTGAGTGACAAAGCAGGCTTAAAGTGTCCTTTGTGTGTTAGGACTGCTCACCCGTGGAAGCTGGGTCTGGCCATGGCAACGCTCAGGAAAGACTGGACACTACAGCAAAAGTTGTGTAAGCAAGAAGGCAGAATCATTTCCATAGATAACCTTGGAAAAAGGACAGGAGGAGAGATGAACAGAGAAAACAGGGCTCTTTAATCCCCAAAAGGTCAGCCATTACAGTGGAAATGAATGAAGGGGATGTTACAGAAGGCATGGCATGCATCTCACACAGCAGTCACACATCCCTGCCTCTCTGCTGAGGTGTCACATATTCAGCTGAGCTCTAGATACACTGCAGACATAGCAGATGTCTCAGCAGTGCCCAGGAAACACATTCCCACACTCTGATGGATCAAGGCCACATCAAGTCTGCTGCAGTCAAAGTGGCAGAGCACCGTGAGGGGCTCACATCTGCCTTTCTCCCCTCCCATTCCACTCAGCAGCTCAGCCCTCAGAAAAGTGTAAACGTCCTCTCCTGCCAAGTGGACTTTACCCATCCACAGACAGGAGCACTCCTTATGGCTTTCTGCTGCCAGCAGTGATCTATGTCCAGCTTCTCACTCAATTTCTGTATCTTTGTGACACCTCAAAGTGCTCACCCTGCTCCACACCCAATCCCAGCTAAGACCTGTGATAATTTAGTCATAGTTTAGATTTATAAAAAAAGCAAAATTAGCTTGGAAACCTACAAATAATTTTGTTCCTTGATGTGAAGAAAAGTGTGACAGGTGATTAGATGATTGGCATGAAGCTGTTAATGGAAATCAGCTGTTCTGTGGCAGGCAGTGCTTTAGGGGGATTCCCACTCTGTTAGCTCCTGAACAATGCATGAGCTTGAATCTAACTGATATGTAACCTGCCCTTTCTGGGCCTTGGTTTTCCATACCTAAAATGGGGACAGTAATGCTTTCCTGCATCAGAGAATTGCTGAAAGAAAATGGTGTGCAGCACTTCGGATGCACAACAAGTAGAATTGCAACAGGTAGTAAGAAGATTTGCATTATATTCTAAGACTTAACAATAGATTTTCTTTCAGAATAGCAGCAGAACAAATAGAGATTTAAAGGTATAATTTAAAAGAAGAATATTTAATTCTCTCAAATAACTGTTTTCCATTACAGTCTAAGCAGGTACAATTCAAAAAAAATCCAGTGATTTGTACAAAGAAAAAAGTCATTAGCTGAGAATCTGATTGGTCTTTCAATATAGATTTTATATGAGTTTTACGGCCTACATGGAGGAAATGAGACAAATAAGTAGTTTCCTATTATATTAATTTTGAAATGCATAACTTAGTGTAAAGTTTGCTTATAACATCAATTGAGAGAGGTGATAAGGAATATTACTATCTAAATACTTATTACCAAAATGCATCAGCAAATCACTGTGTTAAATGTGGTGCAGTAGGGGGGTCACCAGCCTTTGCAATGGCCGCTGAGTAAACTCTGCAGGTGGCGTAATCCACAGGGAAAATAGGAAAAAAATTTAGAAATGTTCAGATTGTGGCTTATAGGGAAAGCATCAGGCTTGGTCCAAATTTACAGTCTAACATGGCATCCTATACTGAGGCTGGGAGGAGACCCCCACTGTTTGCACTTTGTGAGGATACACAGGGAAAAAAGGACAAAGTGGTTTGAAAAGGTGTGATTTCTCAGAAGTGGTAAAAAATGTGCAGGAACCCAGAAGGATCTCAGCTAGCCTAAAGGAAACTTGTGCTGGGAACATCTCAAGAACTGTCTCTGGGTTCAGGAGTTTTGGATCCAAGGCTGGAGAAGGGCTAGGCTGTGTTGTCTCTTCTGCAGTGGTAAGCAGAAGTCCAAAGCACAGAAGAGACAGAACTGTTCTGCCCCAGGAGCAAGGAAGGAATCAAGAAATGCCTGATGACAATTGTAAACTTTCTTGAACTCTTAAATCTCATATTCATTTGTTCTGTGCTTCATACTGCTTTCAGAAATTCAAAGATTGAGTGTGGAAGGCTCATAGAGTAATCAGGGCTTTGCTTTTCTGTCTTTGTTTGCTTTCTTGTGATTATGAATGACCAAGCCACTTCCATTCTCTTTGAAATTAAAATTATTTCTGTCAAAGCAGACAACAGTGCTGCTTTTTATGCCACACATGAAATTTTCTGTATCAATACCAACTCAGTAGAGATTCATGCTTTAAAACAAGAAGCCCCTTGAAAATGTACCTGCAATAAATAGCAAAATACCATTCTGTTGTTTTCAGCTAAAACACCACGATTATTCTGGTTGCAACTTAAGAACAGCCTTCCTTTGTTGAAGGTAATTACATTTCACTAATTGTTATGAAGACTGCTATGCTTTAGTGGGTTTCTGCTCAACAAAATACCTGGGAATAAGTAAGAGAACACCTGAAGGGGAAGATAGTTAATGGTGGGTTTCACTTGGAAAGAAAACCTGAGCAAAATGTCTGGTAAACAGCATCAGTGGAGGCTGGCATGAAGCAAAGCAAAGGACTGGCTCAGTGGACTGGCTACTGCCAATTAAATGGTTTCATGCACTGTCTACCTCAGGTAATGAGGTCTGGCTAAACCCTTAGGCCCTGGGCACCCGTTAGAAAAGACAAATATAGCTGGTAGGGAAAAAGAAAATTCCATTGGGACATCTTTGATTTAAACAGAATCAAATGGCACGCTACCATGTCAATGGTCTTTCATGGAATGCAAATGGATCTGTCTAATGGAGAGAAAATGCACATCATTCATTTTAGACTATAATTAGGTTTTAATTTAATCAAGTATTGGTACCAAAGCAGGCCTTGGAGAAAGATTTTGATATTAAAGCCTTCAAAGCTTCTTTGGAGAACTCTAAATGGCTTCTGTGGTAGTAAATCAGCTTGCAAAGTGGTACTATACAATGTGCATATCTTAGCTCTATCACAGCCTATTATAAAACTTAAAACAGGGAACAAGTGGAATGCAGTCCTTTTATGAAAGAAAACACTGAGTCATACTGTGAATCACTCTATCTCAGGGAGACAATTTCTTTGAACATTGGCTTTTTGGAGAGTAGTAAAAAGTACTACCCAAGACAGTGTGCAATTAAATGTACTTTAATTTGCATTTAGGGGCTAGAGTTTATGGTATAGAATTATTAGTAAATAATGTCTAATTGTAACACAAGGGAAGCAAATGTGAAATTAATACTGGATCTATAACTTTTCATTATTATGGTCTTGTCTATGTGAGCAAATTTATTCAGTCTTATGTTCTACTCTGGCTGACTTTGAAAAAAGAAAAGATATTTTTGGATTATGGAGTATGTTGGATAATCCCCAAAATTATTTTCATCCTTGGCAATATCCTGTCTCGTTCCTTACCTGTCAAGCAGGGTGTAGCTGAGCACAAGGCAGCTGGAACTTCACAGTTTCTGTGGAGAACAGTCATCACTTATAGATCTCCTTTCCATTTCTAGAGTGCAGGCTGGGTTTCCTGTCTAGAGTGTCTCCCATCTTTATTAGCAGCTGGTGTGTAAAGAACTCAGTGTTTTCTGATTGCTGCTTGATAGTGAGAGCTGGGGACTTGGTCCTGAGCTCATGGAAATTGATGAGAAAACATTCTACACTGGATCTATCAGCAGATATTAAGTGTAGAACATGGAGAAGGTCAGTATATTAATTTCAAAATACCTGATTTTCAATTTAACATCCAAACTATAACTGGCATTATATAATCTGTATTATTTGATTTTGTGGCTGGTATTAAAAATGCATATATTCAGTTATGTGTCTTAAATAATTCAAGTTCCCTTTAAATACAATAATTTTTTTATGGTAGACAGGAAAAGCTTTTCTTACATTGAGTTTAGGAAAGAAGAGAGGACAAGAAAAATCCTATATTCCCTGGAAACTGTGCAGAAAAGTAATATTCTTTGATAATGAGATCTGAGCCGTGGGAGGGTGTTGCCATTCAGAAGATGTGATCTTCAGAAATAAATGCATAAAAACTGCAGCAAATGAGGACTACTGTGAAAGTTCATTGCTGGGTCTGGACCTCAGTTTAGGAGCTGATTTTGTTCTTGCAGAGCCCACTGATTTCAAGAGAAGGCTTTAACTGTCTAGGAAAACAGACTCTAAAAGAATTTACATCAGGGTGGAGCTATAAATAAGACAAAAAAAAACTTAATCTATGAAAAGAATAAACTTATTTTCATCAACAACAAAGGCTAATTGACTGAACAGTCTATGTATGCTTGCAGCTCCTACTTGGGTTAAT